TTGCTTTCTTGGGTTACCCAATAGAGCTAACGGAATCGGGCTAAGGTTGCATCACGCCCTCTATTGTTGCATGAACAGTCTGGTAACATGATGTCGTTAGGGCAATAGCTTTTGCAGGGAAAATCCACTGTCATGGGATTTGTGTTCTTCAGGCGCTGCCCCACTACCCAGAGTCCACTTTCATCTTGGACTGGATTTAAACAAGCGAGACCTTTTCTGTCTTTTTTGTCAGTTTTTGTCAGAACACTTTCAAATTATTTCTGAACTTCTTTAACAATAAAGTTCTCGGCTTCTTGTAATTGCTTAACAGAGATGGAGAGAGTCTTTCCACCTTTAAAAATTCTCCTCTTCGCAATGTTTAGCAATCTGGCGACCACCCAAATAGCTTTGTTGACATTGCTGAACCTTTCGTAGTCGATCAACAATGCCTCTACGCTCACTGCTTTTACAACATGGACTTTCGTTTCACCTGGAGGTGGTTCTTTCTTTGGGTTAAACCAGTGCCGTAGCCAGAATGATAATTGGGAGGGCACATATTCATATATTCGTGTTCTGCTTTATTAATTTCTTTTGAAATCAATTGTTTTTATGGTATGTGAACACGAATATATGAATATGCCCCCCCCCCAATTATCATTGTGGCTACGGCACTGGGTTAAACTTTAATTTCCATTCTTCTATCGGTCGGTACAGAATCGGCGGTCCATTCCACCAATGAGAATCGTTGTTCAGTTCCTCTGGTGCTTTGCCGCGTGTCAACATACCAGGGAACGGCTGGAACCGAGCCTACGTACCAGTCAGCTCTATTATGTTGGCCTGCCATCCAAGCCCAGCAAGTCAGATCTCCGGCAGTTGCTGCTTGGCCAATGGCCAGCATAAAACATACTCTGTAAATATGTAAATAAATGTACTCACCTCATTCATTCATTTATTGCATTTCTCCGATATATTTATTTTTTAACACAACATCAGCATCAGAAGTTTAAGGCCCGTTTCATATACGCCGTACTTCACATGTGCCGAATACATTAAAGACAATAGGTAATGAGCTGAAATGCGTCTTTGTCTATTGTTTTTAATGTATTCGGCACATGAAAAGTAGTACGGCGTATGAAACGGGCCTAAGTATAAACAATCATAAATTATTTTTTTAAATACATTCTGCACACAACCGGGAGTAACACACTTTTATGATGAATCCAGTTAAGAAATATAGTTCAGTGCTTGGTAACAAAGCCTTAAAGTGATCGCAAAAATTTTTTCTGCTGGCCGCAAAGCAAGACAAGGAGCTAGCATGACATGGATGACTCTTCCTCGCTATATAAACACCTTCAAAAATCTCGAATTCAAAAATCTCAAGAATCTTTTTCATACTTTGACTTCTTTTGCTTTCGTTTTATACATTAAACTTATTAGAATTGTTTCCCGATTTTATGTTTGGCATTAATTACATCATCGAAGTTAATGCACTGTTGGAGTTCGTTGACAGTGCGTTCGATGAACAGGGATTTTATCTTGCATTTAATGTATTTATATTTTATATTGTAAGCTTGTAGTAACTATAATTTAAAAATAAATGCACCTTAATAACTACAGCAAGTGAAAAGTTGCATTCCCAATTTCCCTTGACTATACTGTTGTTACGTATGGTACAGAGGTGTTGCAGGAATGACTTTTTTGGTTCTTTATAAAGTTCATGCTTCTATAAGTACTATTTAAAAAACATCAAAGATATTTTTATGAATTAATTTCCGATATATTATTTACCTGTGAATGTTTTTTTTGTGTGTTGTGTACGTACTGTTCACAACAGGGCATTCCTGGGGAAATAAGGAATTTACCATATTTTTTGTAGTTACATCTCTATGTGATTTGACCATTAAAATGGACCGTCGATCGACCCCTGGGTGCAGACGTGTGCAACAAACTAAAAATATATGTATCAAGGTTGACATAATGCAGTGTTTCCATGGTCTCTGTCACGTGGAAGAAAATATTCAAAAAAGCAATATTCATAAAAGCATCAGATATACATTTAAAGAAGAAAGTTAATTTGGAAGTATCAACATGGAATGTCTACATGTTTATCTTGGAATGATACTATACTTCGCAAGTGTATATAAACGTTGCTCTCAAATTGAATGCAAAACTTCATCACGTCCAGCCAGTGTCATCGGAATACGAGAACACAAAAACGAAGAAATCTTTGTCTTTGAAGAGATATCGCCTACTGTCAAACGCTTTTGGCTGCAAACTATATTGCGAAAAATGAATATCTTGGAAATGGTATAATTAATACAGTTTAAGGATTGATTGATGCGCCAGATTTGCTATGGAAGCTACTATAAATTAAAGTGTATATTTGTGTAATATGTTATAGACTATCCTTATTCTAATAAAATTGTATTTTATTCACACTAAGCATTCTTTGTTCTGATCCAATAGACGCCATAAGTACGCTACAGCGTACCAATTTTTCTAATTCATTTGTACATTTTTCATTTGAATTCTGAGTGATTGAAATGAGTGAGTTTACAGCAAATCGAATGTCATGTTGAATGTCATGTTGAATATCATGCGTACTTCACAGTGGTTTATTTAATATTTATTCTGTTCCATGGTGATGGCCGAAGATTTATGCTTCTAAAACGAAAATAAAACATAAAGTAAGCAAGACATGCAAAAGCTGTGATACAACCAAGGTTGCTTAAAACTTCCAGTGAAGTTTCCTCAAACTGGAAAGCTTTAGCCGCAGTAAGTAATAAGTATTTCATTTATTTTCATTTTACAAGTCAGGTTGGAATTCGTAAATTTCACGCCGACTGCTAACTGCTTAAGCCAGAACGCTATATGAGAGACTTAAAAGCTAGATAACCTTAAAGTTTACGTGCGCTGGAGGTTTTGCTCATGCTTAAACTGGCTGCAGCCTGCAGTTGATAATAATTTATTTCAAATATCAATCTTGCAGTATAGTGTCTATAGTCTAGGACCTGTATATGAGTTTGTATGCATTTCATTTAGGACAGATAATCTCAACTGTTTTAGGGCAAGTTGACCATGACGGTCAACATGGTAATGCTACCCAAACCCCAATCTGGGGCGAAACGTCTGAAACTGACCACACCCAAAAACGACGCTTTCGCCATACTGCCATCTACCAAACCATAAAAGCTTTGGCTATTCTGAGGTGCTTATATGGCTCAGAGATGGTACTTTTGTTTTGGGGGTGGTCATTGGTAAGTGTGAAATGCCTAGCACTAATATTTCACAAGAAAATGACCATGCAATAATCATAGATGTCAATTTGTGGCTTGCAACTTCAGATAATTAAACAGCAGTGGACAGCTTACATTACCTTTTTAATGTGCCTACCTCCTGCAAATGGACGTATTTGGCCAAGTTCTCCACTTTACTCCGCTGTTTATCGGCAATCTCGTCGACATCCTACCAAAAATGTAAATCACCTCAGACATTGGTATCAAGAACATTTTAAACAAGTTTCAACTTGGTTTCAAGTAGATCATAGCTGTTTAACCATCGACAAGGTAAATCCACAACTTTGTCCAAATTTGGTGCCATTTTGTCATCCCATGTCGCTTGTTAACAATTCAGCCTTGCTACTCTTCCATCCAAGCCATTTCCATTCCACTAATAATAAATTTAACCCTTTATAACGGTAGGAAACTAAAAAATCTAAACAAAATATAAGAAATGCGCCATTTTATTACCCTGTAAAGTGTTGTTTACGAGTCCTTCGAAACATTTCGTACAAATCTCGCGTGGTTTAGCAACAGGGACTTGGCAGGGGGGGTAGAGACTTGAAAAATGAAAGGAAAGCCCACACAGTATCCAACAATCAACATTTAATTTGTATGACTTTTTCATATTAATAAATAATAATATGTATATATTTGTCGCTACAAGAAATAAAACAAACGTTTGTATGATTGTATTTAGCTTTTAGTCTATTTCACGCAGCGTTCTTCTATCTTCGTGAAATAATTCACCCCCTCCTGTCACGTCCCTGTTACTTTGTCACGCGATATTTGTACGGAATGTTTTGAAAGACTTGTGTGCAAAATTTTACAGGGTGATAAAATGGCGCATTTCTTATATTTTGTTTAGATTTTTTAGTTTCCTACCGTTATAAAGGGTTAAATTTATTATTAGTGGAATGGAAATGGCTTGGATGGAAGAGTAACAAGGCTGAATTGTTAACAAGCGACATGGGATGACAAAATGGCGCTGAATTTGGACAAAGTTGTGGATTTGCCTTGTCGATGGTTAAACAG